AACCAAGGCCACGTCTGTGCCAAGGGGACACCCTTTATTGTCCATGCCTGACTCCCTGTCAGTCACAGGGGTAAAAAAACAAAACACAGACCCAGTAGGAAGGATGTCAGTTTGTGAAGTTCAGGCGGCAGCGACCATCACTCCAACGACTCTTCCTAAATCAATAGTTTCACAGCTGCAGTGGTGCTAAAGATTAAATGATTAAAACGCATTTCTCCAAAAATGTGTTTTTGCTGTATAAGAAGTTCTAGTCGTTGGATCGGGGAAACTTCAGCAGTCAGGGAACATGACTGACTTTCCCAGACGCACATTTGATATGAATGGGCTACTCCGGAGCGTAGAATCACATTTATGAGCCATTTGGCTTCGCAGAAATTAGATTATTTAGATAAATCAAAGCAGGTTTTGATCTACTGCGTTCACCGCATCAACGCTTTTCGAGGGGGTTGAATTGAAGTGCTGCACCAGCAAAAGTCCATCACGACATGATCATGGAAAACAATTACATCATTTAGAAAATAATATCAGGCAGGAAAGGCAAATGTGAAGTGCACAAACGGCCATGTTGGAGTTGATTAACGTAACAAAATGGATTCCTTCGGTTGATGATGATTAAGATCATGATGTTAGGGGAGATATTCACTCTAGTGAGTAGTTCCCGTATTTGTTTGGAAAGATTACTTTCCTGTATGGGCGAGGATGAAATGAAGTCATGTAGGAATCCTGTGTGAGTCTGGCTTAATGTACAGCACGAAGAGCCGTGTTTCCCAACTTTTTTTTGGCTCCCATTTCAACATCATACATTTCTGGCGACCCCAGAGACACATTTTTATCTACAATTAGGGTCGCAAGAGATTTCTTTTTTTGGGTCGTCTCAGATCATGTTTCTCCGGAGGTTACGAATAATGTCTATTGACTTGGATTACCAAGGTTTGTGACTTTTAAAATATGGGTCCCCTGAAAAAAAGTTTGGGAAACACTGATATAGAGGGTGCTATTAAGGCGGTTTCAATATCTGGATCATTGAATTTACAGTGCTGCCAATACACAATAACATAGTTTTACACACATAAAACCGTAAAACTCTGGTTCTCTGGTGAAATGACTGCTGGATATTCCAACAGTAGAGTTTTAGAATTGTCAAACAACAACCACTTATCAAATATCGATGTCTAGTCCAAATCATCCTGGACCCCCGCTGACCCTAGCCCCCAATCGTGGTCTTCCGACTCAGAGGACATGGAGCTCAGTAGCTGGCCAAGTCACTCAATCGAGACGGGTAAACAATA